CGTTTGCCTGGGTGGCCATGCATGAATAAATCGAAATGGCTGGAGTATGTAAATTGACGCAGATATACGATATACATATGTATGTTGGTATGTCGGTGGGCACGAACCTTTGGTTAGGTGAGGTTGACTCCATCGTATGAGCCACTCAAATTAACGCCCGGAAAATATGTGGCGTGCGACATTGGCACCTCCATTATAGAGACTATTTTGATGCACGATTTACTGGGGGGCAGATAAGGCAAAAAGAACTACATTAAACTTAAATTATTGCTAATAGGGAATTCCAAACTAAAAGGGAAAGTGTTGCCCTTCCATTTTAGATTGTAAATAAATTGTTGTTAGCAAAACAAAAACAGAAATTATTATTTAATGCCATTTAAACTATTTTTTTATTTTAAATAAGAAGAAAAACAATGTAACTAAATTATTTAAATAGGTTATTACTATTGTGGTTCTATTTGGTAACTTATTAAAAAATGTATAAAACAAAAATGTGGATAATTAAAAGTTGTATGATTAATAACAGTAGTTTTTTGAGGACTGTAGGGTTCTTTACTTTATGGCTTAATGGCGAGGACAATTAACGAGTATCCTTGAATATTATTAATTATACCTATAACTAAACTTATTTTATTGTTTTTTTTTTTTTTTGAATAACAAGTGCCCAATAACGGAAAGCTATTAAAATGTGTTTAATCATGTTAGATGTGCCCTTGAAAGCCATTTCCATAAAATTTCGAGTATTATTACTCCTAATGTTTCATAAACCCAAGGATAAACGAAGGTCTTAGCCCCATAAAGTACATCCCCCAATCTAAGCGGCGTTTTTTTAAGAAAGTTGAGGCAATTCATAACTCACTTTTTATTGGAAAAGTGTAGCTCACTTTGGGCGGTTGACCCCAATTGGGCTATTTCAAAAAATCCGCCCAACTATTCGGTTGGATGCACGAAAGTCGCGGGAAATCTCGCTGAAAGGGAATGGCCATTAAGGCAGAATTTGATTCGCGATCTGGGGGTCAGTTGCGTGGATTGCGTGAATATGCGAGAATAAAATGTATGAACGCCAATAGGGAATAATTAAGTATTCCAATATGCTACCCACAATCGGCGGTTTGGGAGCTGGGCTCGCATGCAAATAAAACCTCAACAAGTCAAACCGGAAACGCAAACATTTCGTTCAGTTTGCCTTTCACAAACCCACCGCGAATACCTCGAGTTGTGGGTGTGTGGAAAAACTCCTCGGACCCTCGACTTTTCTGATTTCGGTATTCGGTATTCGGATCTCGGTTCTCTATTCTTGGTCCTCGGGCTTCAACCACCTGAGGTTCTTGCGCCTCGTGCCCCAAGCCACAAAGTGTAGCGGTGGGAAATGTGTGTGGCTAGGATTCATGCCACCATTCATCCTGTTGTATAAATTAATGGAAAGTCCAGTAGCGTGTTTTGACCATGGCCGGTAACCATGGTGCTGGTGCCAGCGGTGGAAAAAAATAGAGAGAGGTCACTTCGGGAATATGTATGCAAATTGGACTAGGGTGTCCCAATGACATTCGCTGGAGCCACAAATTCAACTGAAAGGTCCTCCGGTTCACCGAAACACCTTGTAAGAGTATGCACTTACTGCCGGACTCTGAATAAATCGCGGCTTAATTCATTAATTTACTCGGACATTCTCGGGGGAAGGTTGTTATTTCGTTCGACCCACGACTTTCCAGTGGAGTCGTCCCACCGGCGATTGGGCCCTTCGCATGCAAATCAAATTCAAAGACCTTTTAGACGTGGTCAAGACTCCGAGCCAAGCGGTAGCTCGCGGGTTTTCCCTTACATTTCCCTCGGTTCGGTGACGCGTTTTTCCTATATTTTCTGTAATGTGACAAGTGCTAAACGATTATACAACAAAGTGTTCCAATCAAACGATAGTTATCCAATTAAAGTAAAGTAAAAATAAATATAATTCCTAATAACTTAATTTCCCGAATATATCAATCTCTGGCGAGACATGTGAAATTACTTCGGGTCAATAAACCCGATTTGACGGATTAAAAAACACGACAAGGCTGTCAGAAGAGCGAAAAATCGGCCACATGGCCGAACATTTTCAACAAAAGCCAGATTAATTATTTTCTGGCAGTGAACTCTTTCTCTTTCCGCCGCCTCGTTCTATTGATTACCCTAAAAATAATTTGAGAAAGTGGCGACGCTGCGATAACTGCTGGGTGCCTTGGTGGCTTGGCGGATCCGAGGTTGTTGTACCTCTAAAATTTGCTTTTAGCCTTCTGCTAAAGTGTGCTTACCAAGACCAAAACCAAGACCGATAAGCCATCTCGTAAAAGCTGGCTTCCTAAATAGAGCATCGACAAAAAAAGGGCTTAATGTGTATGTACTCTCGAAGTACGTGTGAAAACTTTCAATTCACTTAGTTTAGTTCGCTTTGGGAATCGCTTTCGGTGTCTTGAGTTCTCCGGTGAATCCCAGGAATCACTTACAAAAAAGCCCGCTGATAAGCGGCAATAAAACGAAATTGCACCAATGCAGAGACCTTTGGGGCTTAACAATTCGATGCCACATGTTGCAGGCTGTCAAAGTTGCGCTGCCGAAGCGCATCGCGTGATTTGAGGAATATCTACCAGTAAACTTCCATGCGGATAAAGTTAACATGACAGTGAAAGCCCCAAAACTTAGGGCAAATATTGAATTCGGAATAACAACATGACATTTGTTTTACTGCTGTCTTGTGCCTTAAAAACGAAACGATTGCCCGGAAGTGGTTTAAATCAAGTGCCTGAAATTGAAAGAATCGAGCTTCGAGGGATAATGAACCACAACGAATCGAGAATTAACCGACGACTTTAACCGAAATGAGGTAATTTCTATTTTGATGGTGGGCCTAAAGCGGATCCTATTTGCACTTGAACTGTGCGTACTTTCCCACTACTTACATGTATTTAACTTACCTACTCAGGTATGCACATTAATGGTAATGGTAATGGACATTTGACGTGTTCGATTTTATACTTAGCCGACTCCTTCGACCAGTCTGCATTGGTGTTTGTTTTTTGGCCCAGTGGTCACAAGGTCAGACTGCGGTAATCACCAGAATTAATATCTGTAGGTCAAATAGGTTAGTCGCCGCTAAGTTAGTGTGTTCAAGGTAAGGCCTAATCGAAGGCCCAAAAGCCAAAAGGCTCAACTAGTGGATTCGATTTAGGGTGTAGCCAATCCATCGGCATTTTCGGATAAACCATCTCTCGCTACATCGTCCTCATTATTGGGTCGACCCCATTTGCGGCTGGGATGTGGAAAACTCAGGATAGCTCCGGCTTCGTCATCAAACAGACGTGACCAACGGGGGGAATAAAAAAAAAGGAAAAACCCGAAAATAAAAAACTTGGAAAAGTGTGTCACCACGTGGGCCCGTTGGCCAAATCTCAAGTTTTTCCAACTGCAGCCGAAATAAAAAAAGGAAAAAAAAGAAGAAAAACTCCATGCACACGGAGGTTAATATGAGGAATGGGTTCAACATCTGCTCCGAGTTCTGGGCTTGGGTTTGGGCTTGGGACTCGGATTCGGCTTTGGACTCGGAGTTGGATTCGGTAAACCCGTTTAGGTTGCCGCCCTCATTGTGTTTTTTTTCTTCTCGTTTTTTGTTGTTGTTGTTGTGTTTTCCCCCCTCATTTTTGGCCCGTGTATAAATATCCTATAGACAGTAGACAGCAGACGGCGGCGGTAGTGGAAATATTTTAATGTACCTACGATAGGCTGCTCCGGCGCTCTGCCGACTGCATTAGATGCAGGTCATAAGATAAATAGCACAGAACACGATTACACATATTGAACAAGCTGGAAACATGATCGAATTACTGCAATTTCGTGTGTAGCATTTTCCTCGCCGACGCCGCGGAAAACCAACCCGAAAAAAACCAAACATCGGTTCTGTAAATGTTTTAATTTGTTAGGTGGGGGCCTTTCGGCCAAATTAATTAAACGGACATAACTCATTAATCGAGAACATGTGAGCCTCGAATATTAGCATAGTCACGGCCTGGTTGAGAGGACTATTAACCATTTACAAGAATGACCTTTACAATAGGTATTATGATGCTGGTGAGAACCAATATTTTGAAAACCAAAAAGTTTAAAATGCAACCATTAAACTGATAAGATAATAGAATTAAACGTTTACTCTTAAATACACACATTTATTTAATAAATTTATATAATTCCAACACCTTTAAAATAATATTTCGAAACCGTCTTAGCATCATAAACTTAACCATTATCTCGGCAAGTAACCCTTGCTGAATGTATAAAAAATAAATGATGAACACATTAAGGATCTTAAAGTAAGACTTCGATACTTGCTGTTTTCTAGCACTAAAACTGATTGGTTGTTCGCTTAAAACAATCAAACGGATTAGACGCTTTGTGATTTTCTGGTTTAAAATCGATTAACGAAATCGCTAAAATAAGCACCGATATATAAGGTGCAATAAAGACTTCATGGCTTTATACTGCTGCTTGCAAAGTGTTTGATCGTCACGAAAATGGCAACAAATTACCTATTGTATAAGCCAAGCGAATTTGTGGCCAATAGCTAAATAATTGAAAGAAAATAACGCCATTTGCATGTGCGAACGCAACCGAATACAAGAGCTGCAGGATTAATTGCGGACTCGTCCGCTTCCGATAGTTCTCAGGCTTGTTTATTATTGGGAATATATCAAGGTTCATTGGATATATCGTTGTTGTTTTTGTTGTTATTATTTGTTGTTGTTGTTGTACCTACCGGCGAGCGAAACGGGTTTGCTGCTCCCACAAAAACAAGAGCGTCGCCGGAGTCGAGTGGGTTTTGTTGTTGTTGAAAGAGAATGAGAGTCTTCGGCGTCTTCGTCTTTCGCAGAGCCGAATAACCGGCTTTCGTTGTCTCCGCTTCTCAGTGTCTTTCTGCGGAGAATTCTCCCCATCGGCAGTGGCAGATAAGCTCCACTAGTCGAGCACTCTTTCCGGACCATTGGCGGCATCAGTAGCATTTCAGCGGCGGTGCGCTTTACAACCAACTCGGATCGGCATCGGCATACAAGGCGCTATATAACCGCGATTAAATCGTGATTGCGATCGGATTCAAAATCGGGATAGGAATCGGTTTCGGAATCGCCAGCGCAATCGCAATCGGGGAGCTGGCCAGGCAGTATAATTGCAGCAATTTAATGTGGACGCTGAACTGCTGACGCTGTACATACTTTTCTGTATTTCTGAATTTCTGTTTTGCAACCGGAGACTGCGCTTTAATCGCCAGAACGTTTAGCGAATTCGCAAAGTTTCCCAAAATAAAAAACATAATCAGCTCCGGTATTGGGTTACCCGACAGTATGGTTTCCTAGTAGTGACTGACAGGGATCGAAAGAATCCCCGGCACCGCCCCCCACCGCCATTAATTTCGAAGCGATCTGATCGACTTTGATCTAACCCGAAGGCAAGGTCGTTCGAGGTTCATTCAAGCATACAAGCAAATTGGTTATCTGAGCAGCTTAGAAAACACGGATCATCGAGAGCGGTTCGGTTTCAATTTTCGACGTTTCGGCTTCTTCGGTTTCTTGTCTCCCACAAAATAAAATTTATTGAAGACGCGGAAGGACCAACAATACCAAAAAAAAAAAAAAAAAAAACGTTTAAAAATGTGCCTTTAACTTGGTATCCAATGTGCCGCAGCGAATTTAAGACACGGACTATTAATATTCAGTGCGGGTCCGAAAATGTCAATCACTTGATTACAAACGACAAACAAAATCAGTGGAGTGCTCGAATTCGGGTTGCATAAATAAGGCGACCACATGGAAAGTTAAAAATTAACAGTCCGACTGTGAAGATACGACGATTTTTCACCGGAGTTCACATCGCAGCTCTTTTCAACCATTCAAAAGGTATAATTGAACTAGTTTGTATGTACATATTAATCAGCTCACAGTTGGACAGGGAGAAAATTAAATATATAAATCAAGTCTCTTGAAACGAGACAATAATAAGCAATACGAAAGTCAAGTGAACAACAACTTTCCTTTGTAATGTATTGTTAGGTAATTTTTTAAATACATAATAAGTTACTGATTTGGTAAATTAAATCAAGATGCTTTTTTTATAATCTCTAAAGTTATAATAGGGTTTTATCAAAATGCAATCCATTTTTTTATAATTTTTTTTTTTTTGCCAAACTGAAACTCTTTAATTGATAGGTAATAATTATGATGTTATGCTTCATCTTTCGTTTTGATTAATTGTTAATTAACGAGCTTTTTCAACACCCAATGTACGACAAAGTTTTTTTTCTGAAATCCATTATCTCATTGGATAATTTCCCAGTAAACACCCACTTTGATTGTAATTTGGGGGATAATCCCCCATAAATACCCGAAACATCAAACCATATGGTGAATCTAATCAAATGGTTCGGGCCAAGTTGATGGATTACATAACAGTGTACGATGTACATTCATCTGCAGCCAGCAAGTAAGTAAGCGACTGTTGCTGCAGGAACTAGCCGAGATATATATAGATATATATATATATCTGTAGATATGTAGAGCCACACGAACATGGCTACCAGCCAACGCAAAAGCAAACGCAAACACAAACTCGAGCTGAAACTCTGGCTCAAACTACATACCTGGTGGCCACTTACCTGTGCGTCAATAAAAACAAAAAAAAAAAATAAAGAAAACAAAAAAATAACAAAAACAACAGCGGAGCGACCTTGCCTGACCCACTTTACTCGGGGCAGTGCCAAAATTGACAGCTTTGCGGCATTTTAAAATTTATGCTGCAGAATTATCCATAATGGCTGTGTTTTATGTGCCGTCGTCCCATCAACGTGCGTGCCCAAGCATCGAAAATATATATATATTCGTGCCTCGTTTAGCACTAGTGCTTACTTACTTACTCACATTTTTTTGCTCAGTTCTTTTGCGCACTGAGCTCTCTGGTTGGAAAGTTTAACTTTTCCCGGGCCATCGATCTGCCATCGCTGGCTTTCATTTATACAAATTGGACACGCCGCTGAGGGGTGCAGTCAGTTAGCCAGGTCGACACTCTATGATTTATTTTGTACGAGCCTCTTGGATGTTCGATGTGGTATGTTGTATGTGCTATGTGGTACATTGTGTGCTGGATCTTGTGCAGGCAAGTCGACTTCAGTTTATTTATTAATTGGGGGGCAGGCTGTTGGCCTCACCTGAGACGCAAATTAGACTACTGGAAAGCCATTCGATCGCTGCATCCCGATTAACGTGGTAAGCTGAAAGTTAATTACATCGGCAGCGCGTTCGTTGCCTCAGTCTTTCGTTTCGTTTTTTTTATTATTTTTTTTTTGCCGCAAGGCAACGGGACGCACATCCACATCCACATATCCACATCCACGTACTGGATGGCTGCCCCACTCGAGGTAATGGCGACTAGTTCTCGGCGATTGCCCAACAACTGACTGGAGTCGTTAAAGTGTCGTTCAACCGCGTCTTAAAAATACAATTCCGAATCTGAAGACTCGTTGCTGAACGACCGACCGACCGACCGACCGACCGCATGCAGAATGAAGAACAATAACCGCGCGAAGGCACATAAAGACATTTATTTATGCTCGACGCCCACAATGTCGCCGCTGCAGTCGCCGGCAGTCCGCTCCGCCGCTCTGCCGCTCCGCCGCCCTTCGCGTACCGCTCCCCTTCTGGCCAAAAGGCTCTTGGCCAAACTCTCAGCGCGTCCCATTTGCCGAAGTGGAAATAAATTTTTGCTTTATTGAGGAGAGCAATTATGGCCTACAACGACGCGGCGATCCCTTACAACGGCCGCAAATAGATTTTCTGCTCCTCAAAACAGCCCTGGCCTCCGCTCCAATCCCAATCGCAATCTTGGTCGATTGCACCGAAAGAAATCGGTGTTAATCGGGAATTGAATATATTTAGAACATGGTTTAAAAACATATTTGGTGATTGTAAAAAGCGCACAGTTGAACTCTGTAATGTTTGCTCTAATCTCAATAACAAGAAGTTACCTTTTACTTGGAAATTTGGGTTAATCATGTAACGTATTGTACATTATATTTGAAAACATAAAAAGTATTTGCTAAATGGATGGAATAGAAGCATTCAATTTCAATAGTAAAGACTCTTAATATACAATTTTACCCAAATTAAATGTATTTAAAATTTTGATATAACTAATTTATTTATAAGTTTAAAGAACAATAGAGTTAACTTTGAGTAAATTGCATTCTTTGTTAGTGCTTGCATTAAAAAGACCAAATTGTTTAAGGCAGCGAGGCTTTTCATGTTAAAGAGGCTTACACGCATATTTGCATAATGTAATCCTTGTGATCCTGGTTTCGCTCAGTGCTCCAACGCCTTGGGCCGCTGGTCCGCCAGCGAGCCATCAGTCACAGTCTTTGTCTGGGCTTCTCGTCTGCGTGGCTTCGGCTTCGGCTTCCCTCATCCGTTGACGCTTGGTAATCCAGCAGACTGAATACCGAACACTGAAGGCTGAAGGCTGGCCAACGGCAAAGGCGTTTTTCGACGTGCTTACACTCGGATACTATATAGGCACTATAACCCCAACGGTGGGGCTCCCACTCCAATGGCGAGCCCGACTGTTTCGGTTGATGCGGCTTTATGGCAATCCAAACAAGCATTAGAAGATGGCGAGGGATGGGTATTTAAGCCGCGCGGGCAATGCGAAAATAAATGTAAATCACCTCGGCAAAGAGTGCCTGAGTGCATTTTCTTATAAAAGTTCACATAAATTAAGCCAATTAATTTCGTGTCTGCCAGCGGCCCGTGGCTGGGTGCCGATAAAGTCGAGATTCAATTTGAGTACTCAACACGCTGCCGGCTAGAGGATCGCTAACTTGGATTGCTTTGGATCGGATCGCTTTGGCTGGGGATCGCCGACTGGCCGATGGCAGTGCCCCCAGGGTGGATCTGGTAACTGGTAACTGGGAACTAGGGAACTCGGTACCTGGATTGTTGTCTCTGGCCAAGAGCATCATCCGCTGTTTCTGTCCGTCCGTCTGTCTTCGCTGTCAATCCCACGCACCATTTTATGACGCTGCTCGCTGGGATTGCTGTTATTGCATTCATTCGGGGTCTTTTATTTACATTTTTATTTTATTTTACGCTGCGTTTGCCAGGCGAGATCGTAGGAACCTGGAGCCGTGGCCCGAAAACAAAGCGGCAGCATGACGGATAAAAAAATCAGAAAAAAAAAACAGGAAAATAGTAGAGTCGACAGGCGAGACGAACCTGGCTGGAAAACGATAGAAGAAGGCGCGGGCGATGACGTTGGATGACTGTGGATGTTGGTTGTTCGGGTTTCTTAATATCTATCAGACGATGATGGCTAAGGCGATGGCGATGGCTATAACCGATGCCGAGCTGGAACCGAAAAAGCTGCACAGACTTCGGCGTTGGCGTTGTTGGCACCCCGACTAATCGAATGGTAGTCTGTGCTCCAGCCCCCGATGTCTCGTCTCTTTTGGGGGGATCTCTCCACAAGTACACAAGTACACTCGGGATCTGTAGTCGAGTCGAGTGGAGTCTGGAGTCGAAAAGGGAGCCAAACAGCAACATTGTTTGTGCTCTTCATTTACAATCGACTGTGAACTGCAGGCCAGGTTTCTTCTCGGCTTTTCTCAGAGCCTGCAGCTGAACCTTGTCTAGGCCGCAGTGCGTTCGTTGTTAATTATAGGAAAAATAACTGAAACAAAGGCTAAAAAAACGAAGAAGAAATACTAAAAAACGTTGCCAGCCAGCTGCTTGGAATTGTTGAGATGAAAGGAAAACATCACAGTCGGCCCCGACGATAATTAGAAAATCTGGGTAACCGGCCAGAGTTCAACACAAAAAGTTTTCAGTCATCCGCAACACGTACGTCAACCGAACACACAAACTCGGCCATTAGGGAATTCTGATGATGGCGATAAGTGCTAACGTTATTATTCTCAATTAGTAACAATTTAAATGAAGCCTTTGCCGGTGATCACGATAAAGAAACCGAGCTATTTTGAGAGCGGTACTAGTACTATATGTGTTTGTGGCTACGCCCTTGGTGGATATTGGCCAAGAATTCACAAGACACAACGAAAATTCTTAGAAAGCAGTGAGGTATTTAAGTCAACATTGATTTTAAGATAGGAAACCAGTTATAACCTGAATAACAATGGCATTTTTAGCTACATTTAACTTCGTAATAACTTTCATACTTTATAACAATGGAAATATTCCATAAAAGCATTTGGGATTCATGTTTTTTAGTAGAGTTGTTTATATTCCATAAAATCTGTGGGTTGGACTTTCCATCTTTTGCTGATTTAATGAATCCATCGATATGGCTTTCCCACAGGCGATTGAATAATCAGTGTTTGCTAAGCACTTTATGGTCCGCAATTAAAATACGGGAATAGTAGATTATAAAAGCTGCCGTTCTCAGACATGCAGCAGTAGTTATCCCTGTTGTTTCCATTTTGCTCAGCTATATTGCCTTTATGCGTATTTATTTCACCCAGCGAGGCGCACCCAGAAACACGCCCGCAGCTGCGGCAATAAAAACTTTATAGATGCAGATATCTACGTACACTGCAAAAATCGACAAACAAATACATGAATAGCGAACTATAGTGTACGTGTGTATATGCTGCTGACGAGCTGACAGACAGACAAAAAGCCCAAAGACGGAAAGGAACGGCCGGCGGCTTCGGGTTTTTGGTTTAAGCCAAGTCTCAGTTGAAGTTGAAGTTGCAGTCGCAGTCACAGTTCCAGAGCCCCAGAGCCGGCCAAAAAGACCCAGCTAAAAACCCAGCCCCAAACCTCGAGTCCCCTACTCCAACCCCAATCCCCAACCCAATCCAGATGCCCGTGCCCCACCCCCTGGAGTCGAAACA